TGCAATAATCCAGGCAAGCAATGATGAGGGCCTGGACTCAGGTGCTACTATGAGGTTAGAGCAATGGTTCTCAAATGGCATTTTTGGATTTCAAAACTGGGAGAGCACTACTGGAATCTAGTAGGTAGAAGCCAGAGATGCTGCTAACCATCCTACAGTGTTCAGAACCCTCCCCACCCCCAATGAAGAATAGTCTACCCAGGAAATATCACTAGTGCCGCAACTGAGAAACCCTGGGACAGGAAGAGATTCAAGAGCTATTGAGGAGCTTTACAAGATACAATTTGTAGACTAGCCGGGTACAGATAAGTGTGCCAAGGGGCAAAGGAGTTCTGGTTTTCTGATTGTGGGAATCTCAGGTGATGGGACAGAAAAGGCATGGGGGAAGCATGGGCATCATTTTCTTGACACATAGATTTAGAAGTATTTGTGGTGCATCCAATTTGGACACAGTGGTTTGGAGCATAAGAGAGAGATTTGGACTAGATTCAGATTGGGAATTCAAATAAGAGAGGCAATGGCATTAGGTAGGAGTAATCCCTGATTCGAAGTAAGGAATGATACATGGCATAAAAGGTGAAAAACAATAGATAGATACCTGGAGCATACTGATATTTAGGGAAAAACTGACTCTGAGATACTATTCTTTTAAATTCTTTAACTTATATATTGAAAGAATTTTATTTGCAAAATATTAACCTTCCAAATAACTGTATTTAAGGACAGTGTTTCTCCATCCCAATTCTCAAAATCCTTTGAGAAATTCTCTGGTAAGAAAGAGTGGAAGCTCTTCTAACTGATCTCCCATTAAAAACCATCATGCCCCATTATCTCTGATGCTCACGACAGGTCACAGGCCTTCCCAGCACATCTATTCTTAACTAAGGGCCAATTTTATTTATTCTACGCAGTTATAATTTGTTATTATAAACAAAATATTAATGAACCAATAAAATAAATGTTCAAAAAAAAGTTCTTATGAAAGTTAAGTCGAATGCTTTGGAAATACACAAAACCTTACTATAACTCAGTAACTGGGATCAAAAATTTTAATCACATAAATACACAGATTAATGCTAAGTATAAACTTACCCAGCAAAAGCCTGCAGAGATAGCTGTTTACACATTCCAGGAGTTGGATCTAGACTGTAAGCATGACTCTCCAGGACCTTTCTTCTAGATACTTAACCCCTAACTTAACCAAAATGCAGTTTTTTCTACTATAAAAAGCAATAATGCCGTTTCAACATAGGACTGTTTTGAGATTAAACAAGGTATTTATAAGTGTCTAACACAATGCCTAATCCACAGTGAACAAATACCCAGTAGGTAATGTCTTCTTTCAATTATTCCTTGGGATGATGATAACCCATGTCTATATTTGTTTTTTTAAATGTTTAAATAGAGAGTATTTTTCTGATCAATTATTCTCATGGCCAAGTATTAGGAACTAGAGCCCCAGTGCATGAAATTCATGCTCAGGTAGGGTCCCTAGCAGCTGCTGGCCAGGGCCTCCCTTGGGGCCTCCTTTCCCCAGCTGCTGGCTGGGGCCTTCCTTCGGTCCGCGCTGCCCCCTGGTGGTCAGTGCATGTTATAGCGAGTGATCGAACTCCTGAGGGGACACTTATATATATATATATACTAGAGGCCCGGTACACAAAAATTTGTGCACTGGTGGGGTGGGGGGGGGTCCCTCAGCCCGGTCTGTGCCCTCTCACAGTCTGGGGCCCCTCAGGGGATGTCCAACTGCTGGCTTAGGCCCGCTCCCCAGGGGATCAGACATCACTCTGGAAGCCCGGGAGCCCTCAGGGGAAG